ACTTAGAATGGCAAACAAGCCGACGGCCCACCTGATGGAAAGTGGTAACCGTCGCCTATAGACATGAGCAGTACCATGGACATAACAGAGTATACTGTTTCGCCCATGATACCCCCATGCGTTGCCATTCCTGAGGACTCAGGTGTTATTCCTCTGTACCCAGTAAATCACGCCAAAAACAAAATTGCTTCCAAATTGCATAAAATTTTTTTTTCACATACCTTTTGAGTCATCCTTCTAACTTGTCTAATAGAATATTGCTAATGTACCCTTATCAGACTATTTGATACCGACATTTGATCAGTCCCGATAAGGAGGCACAAAAGTGTATGAATATGTATGTTGTCCATGTAATAAAGTGGCACCCAGCCACCATAGTTTGTTGATTTGGTTGGTTAGACTTAGGGTGACCAGTTCGGATGTGATTGTTGGGACTGTTCTTATAGTTAATTTAAAAAATATTTTATATATATAAAACAAAACAATATATATATATATATATATATATATATATATATATATATATATATATATATATATATATATATATATCAAAACATCGTCATCATTTCGTAATAAGGGTACACCTGAGTCTTCAGGAATGGCAACGCGTGGGGAGTATCATGGGCGAAACAGTATACTCTGTTATGTGCATGGTACTGCTCATGTCTATAGGCGACGGTTACTACTTTTTATCAGGTGGGCCGTCAGCTTGTTTGCCATTCTAAGTTGTATAAAAAAATATATATATCTTTTGTAAATTGTATTTCTAATAATAATAGATGTAATAATAGCTCTTTTTTGCAGCTTTGTCCGTATGTATCACTATATAAAGTATGCTGTATTAATTTACGATATAACCTCGTGTACGTAACATTCACCAGTTTAAGTATGATTCATTAATAAACATACAAATATACAAACGTCGGACGGTAATGAAAAAAATGACTATTCAGAAATGCTAAATCTAAGTTTACTCGAATAAAAATATTTCTGCCTTTCTCTCCTTTATCTTCATAAACTTTCGCTTTTTTATTATCAGTAGTTTTTGAATTAGCAAAGTAGTTTTTGAGTTTATTCATTACAAACATACATACACACAAAAATACAAATATTTCCTCTTTATAATATTAGTGCAGATGTAGATATATATTCGTATGTGTCTACTGCATATTACAATGCTCACACTATATGAATCATTTTTATATTAAATGCGTAATATTTCTTCACGTATTTCGAACCGTTCATAATTGAGTTGCGTAATAACTCGAATGCAGCATTCAGTCTCAGACGTTTTGTCCTCTCACAGTTTACCGTTAATATGTATTTTTTTTTGTGAACTAGCCCCATAGTTTCCGTTGTGCCTAATTGCATTTTATAACACCTTTATGGCTCTCAGACAGACGGCGTGTCACATTTCTGCTGCGATTTTCAGCAGACTCCAAGTAGAATGTACGATTTTTTTATCGATAGATAAAGAGGGAGACAACAAAAGCCGATTGCTTGGGTACCTCTGTCCCATTCGTGTTTCAACCGCAAAGCAGTTGTGTTTGCATGGCTGTGTTTTGGTTTGAAGGATGAAACATGGCAGTGAATTTACAGGGTACAGAGGAATCGTCACCTATAAACATGGACAGCAATACGAACATCACAGATTACACTGTCATACACATCATAATGAATTCATCAGGAATTAACCATGATAGTTTCCAGGGGGAACCGCGAGGAGGTCGACCTGGTTGGGTATATTGCTAGCAATGGGATTTTTGTCTCCATTACTAACAATCCCTTCCCCCGAACTGCGGTTACCAGCCCACTTGCCAAGCGTGGCAACTACTGGCAAAACCTCCTTATGGGGTTAGTCTATGTCCAGCAGTGGACAGTTAATGACTGGCCTTTGTGGACAATTTCCATCATTTTCCGAATGTGTGCGTACTCTAGTCGTTACGACGCTCCGGCGGCCTGTCACAAGTTATTGTTTAAGTGCGCGATTTCTATTCACAGCGCGCGCACGCGTCGTATTGCGTATCTACTTTCTATGAGTTTTATAGGCGGAATGCAAAATCACTGGCAATTTCTGTGACTTTGGGTATTTTGGCGCGTACGTAATTAGCACGAGTGTGGTGCTATTCGGTAATATTTTTATAAGCTTGTATTGTAATTTGCAATGAATGCAATCGTAAGGCTCGCCAGCGACAGGGAGTTCACCCTCATACCTTACAGCCTAAATGGTCGCGTACAACGCGGTTTCAGAGATATTTTCTCCCACGAACACTCAGGTTATAGAATGAGCTCCCTGCCGAGGTTTTCCCAAGAGACTACAGCATGGGGCTCATCAAAAGGTGGGTAAGGAGGTTTCTTAAGGGTCGGCAACGCGCGTGTAATACCTCTGGTATTGCAGGCGTTCATAGGCTACGGTAACCGCTTACCATCAGGTGTGCCGTATGTTTGTTTGCCACCTCAGTGGTATAAAAAAAATGCTAGTTTGGTTGAGTCAAATCTTACGAGTTGAATGAATAAACGCTGGCAGTATTTTGCGGAGCAGAACACTGCATGTAGTGGCGACGGTTTCCATCACTTTCCATCAGATGGGCCATCAGTATGTTGGTCATTCTAAAATCTATACAAAAAGATTAAGGCTGGCAGTTTTTTTGACGAGCAATAAACTGTATTTAGGTAGTAGCTTCAAAATTTATATCGGCATGAATATGCAACATTTACAATGGTTTTTTTTATACCACTGAGGCCTGACAAGAAACAAGCTGACGGCCCACCTGATGGTAAGCGGTTACCGTAGCCTATGAACGCCTGCAATACCAGGAGTAGTATTACGCGCGCATTGCCGACCCTAAAGAACCTCCTTACCTCCATTTTGAAGAATTCCATGCTGTAGTCTCTTGTTACTCAACAGGGAGCTCATTCCATAACCTGAATGTTCGTGGGAGAAAACATCTCTGAAACCGCGTTGTAGGCGATTATCTAGGCTGTAGGGTATGAGGGTGTAGGTATCTACGAAATATGTAGTCGTTTATCCGTGTGTTTGCAATGGAAGTCGTTTGTCAGCGATATACACATATTTTATGTTATATATATATTTTTTTTATTGGATGAAAACGGAGTGGTATCCCGCCTGCGCTAATGGGATACGCTGGCGGGGCACCAGTGAAGGGTGATCGATGAGGATGAAAACAGGCCAGTTAGCCCATCATGATGAATTCATCAGGAATTAATCATGATAGTTTCCAGGGGGAACCGCGAGAAGGTCAACCTGGTTGGATATATTGCTAGCAATGGGATTTTCAGTCTCCGTTACTAACAATCCCCTTCCCCCCTTTATTGTTATATTATACAAGCAATTGATATGAAAGATTCATATTTTCAATTCTAATACATTTAGTATTCATAGACAAATAAACTTCCATTATCAATTAAGATACTGAGCGAAACTTTAAGAAAATTAATTCCGACTTTCTGGCCTTTACAAGTGTTTCTAGATTAATTAACTAAAACTTGCTGGAACTTGTTCTCTAGTTGAAAAACAAATTAACAATCTGTTATTTATTATTTTCGTAGTATTCAAAAAGTGAAACTAGGGATATGTAGTAATTAGTTATGGAACAATAAAATACATATTATGTATTCGATATGGGTAATATGGGTACCATTTCGATATCTATATATCGTGTGCCCGTAGATACTGATAACTGAAAAAACGTTATCACCCGTTTCGATATCGTTGATACAAGTCGAATATGTATGCACATATGTATATTCGATTGGATTCTTAATTTTTTTTATTATAGTATTGAATTACCGATATTTAATATATCTATATAGGGCCAATATATATTTAGATATTGTAACTGTAATATACATAATATATGTTATTATGTATATATATATATATATATATATATCGCCTGCATATTATGGTAAAAAACAGTCGAGAATTAATTGCTTGTTAATAGAGTTTTCTACTGGTAAAATTGAACATTTTTTCCGAATAGAACATGTTAGTATTGGGGTGGGGGGGTACAAAAATGTATCATTCAAAAAAGTAAATGATTCATTAAAATCAGTTCAGCAGTTTTAGAGATTAGCACGAGTGAAACTATAATATATATATATATATGATAAACTGAACTGAGAATGAACGACAAGGGATTTTTTATTTTAAAATGTAGTTAAAGTTTGAACTCTTTTTCCCTTTTGAACTCTGTCAGAGAAGATTTTTTTTTTTTAATTTTCATATTTGTAATATTTCAGTTTTATGAATTGCCATACGGAACCCTAAAAACGACAGATCTATTAAGAAGCACTAAAACACTTATCTATAATGATATCTGAGTCTGGCCAGGCACCAGCACTCCCAGTCGGATGCTGTTGTCATTTACTCATTTCTCTGATTGTGTAACTTGCCGAACCTAAATATTTCTGGAGCAATTCACTTGCCCTAGCTCAAATTGGGCGGTACTCGGCGTATTATCGGCGCTCACAAAACTATCATTGGTAGGGTTGACACTTGTAACAAAAATAAATACTACCAGACATAGAACGAAGCGCCATCTAGTCCCATTATATTAATCTCATTATATTATTGCCGACCCTGAAGACGCTACGCCGGCATACACAGACAATCGGTGTATACCGACTGCAAATCCAGCGACCCGGAGGTTGTCGCCTCCGGAGTAGAAGCCGGGGTAATGAGGTACGTCCCGAGGCCCCTACCTGGCCCGCCCACACATCATCCGGCGGGCAAAGAGAAGCCCTTTATTGATAGATTGCCGACCCTGAAGAAACCTCTTTACCCCCCCTTTTGAAGATATTTTATTACTTTTGAAATATGAATAATGGGATTATTATTAATTTTTGTTTTGCAAAGTAAAATGTATTTGTTAGAAACTATATTAAACTATGATTTTCTCGATTTTGATTTAAAATTTTAATTCATATATATGTTATGTTATACATACATTTTAAATTTTACATTTTTGTTACAGGTATGGATCATGACAATCCGTTACATAAACAATTAAGCAGTAAGTAAAATTAACAAAGTTAACACGTTTTTTTGTACGGGAATTATTTTTTAATTTTTATACATTATTTTTGTAGATGTTTTAAAGTATATTGTTACTAATTGTGACCGCAACATCGACCGTGTAAAATGAAAATATTGATCGAATGAGATAACAAGTCTATACACCTATACTTACACCCTTTTCATGTCAGATACTAAATGTATGCCCCTCATAATAAAATTGGTTACGTCGTGGTGTAACGAACGCGTTTTCATATTGATTTATTAATAATTAATTTTAATAAATGTCATAAACGCAAGTGAATCTGTCACACGTACGTTTTCTCAAAATAAACGTTGTTAAGAAGTGACAACCCTATTATGTCATCGTATCGCCTCCGTTTTCCTCCTCCGCCCACATTTGTGATATATTGACGAGTTTCCGACGTTATGTTCTCTGAAACTATGGAGGCTCGTGATCTCGTTCCGGTTGGACCATCAGCTCGCTGAGTGATAAATAAAAGTTTTTTTTTTTCTTTTTTTTTCCTTTATATATGGCCAATATCTTCTGTTTGCCTTAATACTGCATATTTCTATTCATAATAAATAGATTTGTCCTCCGAAGTACGTTCCGTAATATATTACTTGCATACTAGAAATGTTTTGAGGTACAATTTTGGTATTAAAAAAAATTTGTGTTTATTTAAATTTTTAGTTACATCTCCTGTTGTTAATTAACCAATTTGACTCTAATAGGCAAAAGCTTTAAATTACTTCACAGGAGTTAGGTATTTAATTTTTTTTATTGGAAGTGGTAAAGATTTTCTGGTTGACGTCTCTACGTTGTCCCCACTGGACACCATCGTGTCTAATTCTAGTAGGATTCGTTAGGATGGGCTAACCGACCTGCTTTCATCCTCATCAGTCATCTATCACTGGTGCCCTGCCAGTATACACCAATAGCGCAGACGGACTTACCATACCATTATCACACATTAAAAAAATCTGTTTTATCCCTTTTTCGAAGAACCCCATACTCTCTCGTCTCTTTAACATCGACAGGGAGCTCATTCCATAACCTAAGCTTTCATGGGATTAAATGTCTCTAAAACTGCGCTGTACGCGACCATCTAGGCTAGAGCCTAGAGGCAGGCAGTTGAGTTTTTTTCTATACTTATTTATTAAGCAAAAACCGCAAATTCCCCTGTACCTGCTCTGTAAAAACATTGATTTGATTGGGCATTTTAAAAATTTTACTTCGATATCTTTCGTGTGCATACATAATTTAGTTTGCCAGTGTTTACCGATAGCGCAGATGGGATTACCATACCATTATCACCCATTAAAAAAAAACGTTTCATCTCATCACCGTAGCCACGGCAATAAGTAGGCGAGTGAAGAGTTGTCGGCATACAAAACGTGTATAACCATAGAACGCTCTCTCGAAACGTGGCCGATAGTGTACGTCGGGGTTCGTCGACCCCGCCAACAATGCTATCGCTTTGTTTACATTGCGCCCATGCACATGGACAACGGCGAAGCGGTGTTTTAGCCGGGATTATTAAACGATTGGCCCCAAAAAAAAGTGTGTTGTTTTCAGAGTTCGTGTATGTGTATGAGTTTTATTTATTCCACGATAACTTTTTTTTTAATGGATCAATATGGAATGATGCTTTCACCTACGTTAATGGTATACAATGGCATGGACAATTTACCAATGTTAGATAATAGGTTAGAACGAAAGCTTGGCTAGTTAGGTCATCGGGGGGAAAGGGATTGTTAGTAATGGAGACTGAGAATCCCATTGCTAGCAATATACCCAACCATGTCGACCTCCTCGCAGTTCTCCTTGGAAACTATCATGGTTAATTCCTGATGAATTCATCACGATGGGCTAACTGGCCTGTTTTCATTCTCATCTGTCACCCTTTACTGGTGCTCCGCCAGCGTATACCGTTAGCGCAGGCGGGGTTACCATACCATTTGCACCCATTAAAAAAGTTAGTTCATCGAGATGAATTCCACAAGAATTATTCGCCATGGTTTCTAGGGGAACTGCGTGGAGGTCGACTTGATCGAGTATATTGCTAGTAATAAATTTATTTGTAACAAATTCAATATAGCGGCTGTATTGCGCCATTTTAAAATGTAAAATAATTTTTTAATACTTTACTTTTTAGTTCTTTTTTTGGCAGTTTGGTCGTGTATTTTTTTTTATGAATTACTTGTTTTGTCTGTGACTACGACTGCTTAGACACTAATGACCACGCCGTACGTTTTTTATAGAGTCTGTAAGAAATAATATGTACAAGGAATGTCTAGCAAACGATAACAACTACCTACAGTAGAATCATGATAAAAATAACAGTTTAAAAAACTATTTTAAAATAAAATTTATTTTAAAGAATTAACTGTAGCGTGATTTCCTTTTAGGGTGAAATTTTCAAAAATCTTTACGGATGATTACGTTTAAAACAAACCTATGTTCCAAAGAGCTTTTTAGACTTAGTAGTTTTGGTTCTGTATTGATAGTCAGGACAAACGATTTTGTTTAAGTATAAATCTAATTTCATTGTGTAATATGAATCATAAAAGCGACTGTTTTGAATGTGAAATTGTCACTTTTGTCATTTGTAAAAGGATCCTAAATGCTCATAGTTGCCATTTATATAATTGACAGGTTTCTACGGAAACCGGCATTGTGGCTCGTTTATTATGAATTAATTTAGCAATGAGTTTCTTTTATCAAGTTTTCGTCTCTGCAATTTTGTTGTTATTATAATATTAATAAATATTTTTTTTTATACAATTTGGAATGGTAAACAAGCTGACGGCCCACCTGATGGAAAGTGGTAATCTTCGCCTATAGACATGAGCAGTACCATGGACATAACAGAGTATACTGTTTCACCAATGATACTCCCCATGCGTTGCCATTCCTGAGGACTCAGGTGTTATTCCTCCGTACCCAGTAAATTCACGCCATATTCCACCTTTCAAACCGAAACACAGCCATACAAACACAACTGCTTTACAATTGAAACACGAATGGGACAGAGGTACCCAAGCAATCGACTTTTGTACAAAGTCTCCCTCCGGTGTTGTTGTTCTTTATTCTCCTAGTTAGTTTATCTTATGATAATGATTATTAATATCAATTACTAGGAATCTGGTGAAATCATCCAAAATGGACTAGCCAGTTACACTTCAGTTAGATAGTAGTTTCTTGCTTTAAAATAACTTGGATCATTTTGATACAAACTGAACTGCGCTTTATAATTTGTTATTAAGGTTTAAATTACATCGTGCTTCCTAAAGTGTTGTCTTTTTTTTCAATGTCAGGCAATGACCATATATCTGAGTTCTATTTTAGTAAGGATACGTTACATAAGGCGTTATCTAAGGGCCTTTAATGAGCCAAGTATCCGGGGATGAAAAAGAGGGGTGATACATTGTTTTCTCTGTTATACAGCCGTAGTTATGTAAGTACATATTTAAATAGCATGCTCGGTCAAGCAGCTTATCGCTGCAAGGATTCGCATTGCTAACGCTCGTGACTGCGCGCACGCGCATCCACAGTGTTGCCAGATGGGGGTGATTTTTCCACAATTTTGAGTATAAAATATTTTCTTGTAGAAATTTTTGAAGAAAAATATAATCGGTTTAGCGAATTTTGACTAATTTATTTAAAAGTTCTGGAATTTGGAAACTGTATAGAAGGTTAATTTTGATTGTTTTTTGAGGAAAAATTCGCTAAATGTTGTATTCCTTACCGGTAGTTATCGGATTTTTTTCTTTTTGGGATAAGAACTATCTCGCAATTGGAAGTAAACAATTGACATTTACAAAATTTCAGTAAATTCAATTATAAATGTGAATGAACATCATAAGATGCGATTTTTAAAATATATTTTTATGTAACTTAGACTGGCAAACAAGCTGACGGCCCACCTAATAGAAAATGGTAACCGTCGCCTATAAACATGAGCAGTACCATGGATATAGCAGAGTATACTGTTTCGCCCATGATATCCCCCATGCATTGCCATTTCTGAGGACTCAGGTGTTATTTATTCCTGTAAATTCACTGCCATATCCCACCCTTCAAACCAAAACACAGCTATGCAAATATAACTGCTTCACGGTTGAAACATACATATATATATTTTAATAATATACTTGTTTGAAATTAAGAATTTCGAGTGAAATAAAATACCGCTTCTGGCAACACTGCGCATCGACTTGCTTGATCTGGTACTATGATAACACTACGCATTGGATGCGCGCGGCCACGCACGTTTGCGTAAATCATTGCAACCTAAATACACTAAAAACGGTCGACGACCTCAGCTGTTGCTTAAGATTATGCATCGCGCGTGTACTGTAATGATCCTAGAGGTGTGAGTGGTGAATGGAACTTTATACGTTGCTAACTGTTTCACGCGGTTTTGCCCGTATGAATGAGTATATAATGTGTTTTATGTGTGTATGGAATTCGAGCGTCAAACATATAAATATTTGGACAAACTTTCACATTTATAATATTAGTAGGAATAGGGTTTCGTTTTAGATGTAAAACATCTAGATGGAGTATCAGTTATCAAAAAAATGTCCCGAATAAGTAGATTTTACTCCGTAAACAGGTTAATCTATGTACAAATATAAAGGAGTGTTCTATCAGTGAAGCCAGAAGAGCACTAATCGAGAAATGACAAAATTTTATCTTTTTTATAACTTGTCTGCTGGAACCAAAGTATGGGAGATACAATTTTCTTTTTATAAAAATAAATCATAGAATTTTGTACCAGACTTTTTTTTTGTAATGTGGTCAATAAAGAATAAATAAATAAAATAAATAAATAGAAAGTTAGGGAACTAAAACTAAGGGAATTTAATGGTTAAGGGATGGGCAGCAACGTCTCTCTTAAAATATCACCAAAGCCTAACTGTGGTTGCCAACCCGCTTGCCAAGTGCAGTAATGTGTGGGCTAACTGTTCTGCTTCATCCTCAACAATCAT